TCAATCTTCATTAAAGTGCATAATAATCCTGGTGGTTAAGATTAATTGGTAACAACTAAACTCAATGTTATAACATGGATTACTTTCTTCCAACCATAAATGGAATTGAAAAGTTCCCTATAGTATTGGAAACAGAATGAAGGCACGAAATAGAAGGAATTGGGAATTATAGATTAATCTTGGACACTGAATGTTATTTGGATCTTGATAAAAGTGTCTTTATGTTCCTGAAATGTGCTAGAAAAATTTGGTTTCGTGTAGGAAGGTTGGACAATGTTGGTTTCTAGTTTTAAGAATTTGGTAATGGTATTTTTCGTTTATAAAAACATAAAGTAAACATAAGTACTATTATGGTTCTCGTACTTTGATTGATGGTTTGTATCGTTTTAATCTTGATGTTGAATTTGTTGAATCCCTGTTTAATGTTGAGCATAATATATGTAATAAACGTATTGCACATAATGAATGTTCTGCTTTCTTGTGGCATCAAAGGTTAGGTCATATATCCAAAGAAAGGATTTTGGGATTAGTGAAACATGAAATCTTACCTCAATTGGATTTTACTGACAAGGACGTGTGTATAGATTGCATTAAAGGCAAGCAAACTAAACGCACATTAAAGAATTCAGCCATACGAAGCAGTGAATTTCTTGATCTTATACACACTGATATATATGGTCCTTTCAATGTTCCCTCTTGGGGCGGAGAAAAATATTTTATCACTTTTATCATTGATTTCTCACGGTATGGTTATATATATTTACTGCATGAAAAGTCTCAATCGTTGGATATCCTAGAGATATTCATTAATGAGGTAGAGAGGCAATTTAATAGAAAAGTTAAAGTTGTGAGATTTGATAGAGGTGATGAATATTATGGTAGATTTAATGAAAATGGACAATGTCTAGGTCCATTTGCAAAGTTCCTTGAAATTCGAGGCATTTATGCGTAATACACAATGTTCGGTACACCTCAATAGAATGGTGTAGTTGAGAGATGGAATCGTACTCTTATGAAAATGGTTAGGAATATGTTAAATAATAGTACTGTACATTTATCATTATGGATGCATGCATTAAAGACTGCTACATATTTACTTAATAGTCCTAGTAAAGCAGTTCCTGAGACCCCTTATGAATTGTGTAAAGGAAGGAAACCTAGTTTAAGGCATCTTCACGTTTGGGGTTGCCCAGCAGAAGTTAGGATATATAATCCACATGAAAAGAAGCTTGTGCTAGAACGGTTAGTAGATTTTTCATAGGATATCTTGAAAAGTCAAAAGGGTACAGATTTTATTGTCCTAACCATAGTACGAGAATTGTTAAGTCTGGTAATGCTCGGTTTATTCGGTTTATTAAAAATGGCCAAATTTAGTGGGGAGTGGTGAACCAACGTAAAGTGAATGTGCAGAGATTTTAGATTAGAAATCAACTCAAGTTGGATTCTCCTAATGTCTCTTCTTCCGGTTGTTGTCTCCTCTTTATTGTATCACATTTAACAACATGCGTTGAACACAAAACAACAATTCCAAACCGCAAATGACTATATAAATTTATGAACTAGTAATAAAATGAACAAGTCACGAATGAACAAGTGGTTTCACAAGAAATAGCATTAAGAAGGTCAGACAAGCTAAGAAGGCCAGCTATTTCTAGTGATTATGTGGTGTACTCACTTGAGCATGAATGTGAATTGAGCATTGGTAAGGATCCAGTCTCTTTTCAGAAATCCATAAAATGTGATAATTCTGAAAAGTGGTTTAATGCTATGAAAGAAGAGATGCAATCAATGAGTGATAATAAAGTCTAGAACTTAGTTGAGTTGCCTAAGTGTTCAAAATAAGTTGGCTGTAAATGGGTCTTCAAGACCAAACAGGCTCTAAGGGCAACATTGAAAGATATAAGGCCGGGCAACATTGAAAGATATAAGGCCCGACTTGTTGCTAAAAGTTATACTCAGAAGGATGGCATTGACTATAAAGAGACCTTTTCTCCAGTTTCCAAAAAGGACTTTTTAATAATTATTTTGGCGTTGGTGGCTCATTATGATCTAAAGCTTCATCAAATGGATGTAAAGACCGCTTTTCTTAATGGTGACTTAGAGGAGGAAGTATATATGGACCAACCGGAAGGATTTCTGAATATAGGAAAGGAAAATTTGGTGTGTAAATTAAAGAAGTCAATATATGGACTGAAGCAAACTTCTCGTCAATAGTATCTTAAGTTCAATAATACCATCATTTCATACGGGTTTATAGAAAACACTATTGATTGTTGTATCTATATGAAGGTCGTGGGAGCAAGTTCATTATGTTAATTCTATATGTTGATGACATTTTTCTTACTGCAAATGATATTGGCTTATTACATGATGTAAAGGGTTTTCTCTCTAAGAACTTTGAAATGAAAGATATGGATAAGGCAACCTATGTGATAGGAATAGAAATATTCCGTGATAGATCACAAGGATTGTTAAGATTATCTCAAAGATCTTACATTGGCAAAGTATTAGAGAGATTTAGAATGGAAAAGTGCTTCGCAGGAATAATTCCAATTCAGAAAGGAGATAAGTTCAGCGAAATACAATGTCCTACAAATGATATGAAACGAAAAGAGATGGAGTCTATTCCCTATGCGTCAGTAGTTGGGAACTTATGTATGTTCAAATATGTACTCGACCAGATATCAGTTTCACTGTTGGAATGTTAGGCCGATATCAATGTAATCATGGAATGAATCATTGGAAAGCTGCAAAGAAAGTATTTAGGTATTTACAAGATACTAAGGATCATATACTCACCTACAGAAAGTCCAGCCATCTCGAAGTGGTGGGATACTCGGATTCAAACTATGCCGGTTGTGTAGATTCAAGAAAATCTACATTCGGCTATATGTTTCTCCTAGCTGGAGGAGCAGTTTCATGGAAACTGGACGAGGAGCCTAGCTGGAGGAGCAGTTTCATGGAAAAGTGGAAAGCAGTCTGTCATTGCTACTACCACAATGGAGGCCGAATTTGTGGCATGCTTTGAGGCCACTTTTCATGCATTGTGGTTGTGGAACTTTGTCTCAAGTTTAGGTATTATCGACAGTATAGCTAGACCGTTGAGAATTACTGTGATAATTCTATAGCTGTCTTCTCTTCTAAGAACAATAGGTATTCTAAGGGTGCAAAACAAATGGATTTAAAGTACTTATCTGAGAAGGAAGAAGTGCAAAAACATAAAGTGTCAATTGAGCATATTGGTATTGATCTGATGATAGCGGAACCATTTACTAAAGGCTTATCACCCAAAACCTTTACTGGTCATGTTGAAAGGATGGACATTGTAGATAAGTCCTTGTTAGTATGATGTTCAAACGTGTATATATATACATATGGTTATTTTGCTCATATTATTGTGACACTTAGGAATTCAATTAAAGTTGTAATTTTTGCTTATTTATTTGTTATCCACATTATAGATGTATACAATAATCGTTTGAGTGAAATAATAATGATGTTGATTGCAACAATGTATTGTTTGTTAAATTATTTCTTGATCAAGGTTCTTATAAATTGAGATGGTTTGTGATGTATAGAAGGAATCATGTTTATTAATGACTTGTGACTGCCATAATCCGATCATTTATGATAGATTCAAGAAATGCACATAGGCCAAGTGGGAGATTGTTAGATTATTTTAATAATCTATGTGGCTCATGTAATTATTTGGACTGGTTCTAATTAAAGATGGCCCAAGATGATGGTTATTGAGCTTAACAAGATTGATGGTTATTGAGCTTAATAGAAGAAGGATCAGTTTGCGGTTGGAGATTGTTAGATTATTTTAATAATCTATGTGGCTCATGTAATTATTTGGACTGGTTCTAATTAAAGATGGCCCAAGATGATGGTTATTGAGCTTAATAGAAGAAGGATCAGTTTGGGTTTAAATACCATTCCCTCTACCTTATAAAACTGACAGGAATAAGGAATAAGGAAATAAAAAAAGTATACGTGAGATACAGTTACCTCACATATATAGTTACCTCACGTGTAACATACGTAAGATACAGTTTGACATATGTGGAAAACTGTTAATCCATGTTTTTGTGTACGTGAGCTATAAGCTTTTTTTCACTTATAAGGATAAGTGGTGGTGAATGATTCTCTAACCATTGAGAGAAAACTAAAAGAAAAGGCAAGAGGGACGAAATAGAAATATGTTGTAACAGTGTGAATCAAATTACTGCAACAAGAAAATCAATGGTCATGGATCAAGGTACACTTGCGATTATTTATTCTTTCTATCAAACAATTTCTAAACAAGATGATCTAGGATTTTATTCCTATATTATAGACTCACAAATCTTCAAACAGTGAATGATTTGCAAAAGCAACTAATTTCGTCCCAGAAAAATGAGGTGCATCAGTTAAGAAAATCACAATGCTCGCAAGACATCCTTGAATTCAAGATCACGTGTTTCTTTTGCTGTGGTGATTATTTTGCAATTCAATATCTGAAAACAAACAAATAATATCTCTATCGAATTAAAAAGAAAAATAGAGAAATAAGGAAAAACAAAAATAGTGATGTTGTCCTCGCTATTCTCAATCTTGATGCAATGATGGTTAAATAGATGAGTTGATTTTTTAGAAAGAAACGATAAGTTTAATTGTAGAGGCGTAATAAAAAAAAGGAGACCGTTCAAATACCATATTTTAGGATAAAATAATTACATATGTAGATAAAATTCAACTATTTAAATAATCAAGATGGATAATTTATATTAAAATAATTAAAATATCCACTCACAATATAAAAAAATAAAATAAACTCAATAATTTCTAAAAAAAGAGAAATAATATACTAAACAAAGGAGCTTGAAATTTTCTTTTTATTTCCGCTTTGATAGATGTATATAGATAGATACTATGGTTTTAATTTGGTTTGAACACTTTGGACCGGTTCACGAACACCCTTTTGCTAGAAATAAGGAACGGCGTCGCATTAACTTCGACTTTCTATCTTACTTTCTAGGGTTTGTAGTTTGATCACGGCAACAGCAGAGAAGGGAGCTCTCTCTCTATCGAGAGTTTCAGCGAGTCTCTCATGGCTACGCTCTAACCTGAAAACTCTTAATATATACAAATAATAAACAAATTAATAAATGGAAAACGCGGAATCTGATGAACCAGAGAAGAAGAGGCCTCACTTGACTTCCCCGCTCTCTCCCTCTATGGCTCGCAACTCCTCCGCTTCTCCTCCGACCAACACTGTAATATATCTCTCTTTGTCCGTTTATTTATTTTATTTGATTTTTAATGGATTTTTGAGGTTTTGATTTTAAACAGTGGATTCTGTATTTTTGATTGATTGGCTGATAGACCTGTTAGGTGTTGTCATTTCAAGCTTTTCAATACGGTGTTGACCTTATTCGTGTTAGGGCATATGCTTGGAACCCTAAATTTTCGAAACTCTTAAGTTTTGAATATTGACAACTGATTGTGCTGATATTGGAATATAATTGGTAAATGATCACAGCATATCTACCATGGTATTTTGGAATGACATTAGACCTGATTTTTGTACTATTAATTGGTGGAGGTTTCTAGTTGTGAATTGGATGACGGGTTTTCTTTGTGGAAAATTTCTCATGTGTTTGCTTGTGCTTGTTATCCAAATTTAAGATATTCTTTCAAAATTATGTTCTTTTTTGGTTTTTTGTCCAGGTTGATGTGGCAGTTCTCCAGTACCAGAATCAAAAGCTTGTTCAGCAATTAGAAATTCAAAAGCATGAATTGCAAGAACTTGAAGCCAAGATTCAAGAATTAAAAGACAAACAAACTTCATACGATGATGTGCTGATCACGGTGAACCAACTGTGGAATCAGGTCCGACGAGAAATTTTATTTGTGTACACGTGTATGTTCACTTATCGGTGTATGTTCACTTATCGGAGCATCGTGTTCTTTGATTTTCATTTCCTTTATTGTGCCTTACAGTTGGTTGATGATTTGGTCCTACTTGGTGTCCGAGCTGGGGGAGGTCAAGATGCTTTGCAAACCTTGGATCATTCAGATTGTTCTGGAGGTACTAATAGTAATCAGCATTATACTCTCTTATCCAACGATTCATTTTTGTTCTTTTACTGTTATTTTTAACCTCTGACTGAGATTGACTGATTATTCAAAATTTTCCCCTGTAACATTCTTTAGGTTCAGTTCCATCATGCCCTGCAGAAGAGATTTTCATTTGTAGACTGTTGGGGAAAGATTCTATTCAAACCAGTGGGAATAATGGAATTGTTGAATATGTTGAAGAAGCCCTGTCTTCTCGCCGTGCGTTTACAATGAGGTTGATGAAATATTTGGAAGATACGATTGATGCTCAGAGGGTGAAAATTGAGAGCATAGCACATGCCTTTCTTGGGAAGCTATACACAGAAGGTCAGAAGAATTCTTGACGTGAAGTCCAATTGTTAATAGATCATTCTCATATTTATTTCCTATGGTTAGGTTAGTGTTTTTCTTCATTAATCTTCCTAGTATTACTTTTTACATGGAATGTTTTCTGACCTTGGATTTTCATTACTTATTTGTGGTTTCAGATGGCATCATTCAGTTGTCAAGGATAGATGATATGATGAAAGAGGAAGCTAAGAATCTACACAAAGTTATTGATGTTCTTCACTTGAAGCATAAGGAGTATACTGATGAGATTCAGACTTATGTCAGTACCCATTCAACGGATCAATCTGAGATTAAACGACTTGCAGGTTCCAAAGATAATTCTATAAACAGTCTTTTCTACATTTTATGAACTCTTAGCAATATTATTAGGACAAAAATGCATTTGGTAAAATTGTAGGTATGGAGAGCATACTACCATATACTTGGTTAGTACTGCATTTTCCTCTTTCTCAATTGGTGGCATATATTGAATCCTCGTTGCAATGTGTGTGTTCTATGTCCATATTTAAAGGTGAGCTAGAAGAGTTCATGGCTGAACTTGAAGAAAGCAGAAGAAAGCTGGTCAATCTGAAAATGCAGAAGGATGCAGCAGCAGGGGTGCATACTCCAGCTCCAAGTGTAGTAAATGGAAGCATGTCGCCTGAAAAACCTGCAGAGAGGTCTAAGGGTTTACGGGAACTGAAGGATTCCATTGAGGAAATGAAGGTACTTACTAACGGGCAATTTCTCTGGGTGACTGTGTTGTGTGTAACTTATGTTTGTAAGCAACAGAATGTGTTATTGAACAAATTTTGCAGGTATTAGCAGCTGACCGTCTTTCTGAGCTTCAAGATGCACAAGAGGAAAATCAAATCTTATTAAAAGAATTGGAAGATATTAAGGTCTGTCAATATTATTATTGGCATGAGTAATTGAAATCCATGTTTTGCCAAGGACTCTCTGCCCCCTCTTTATGTCTAAGGGTCTGATTTATGATGCTATATTTGCACAGGATGAATTGAAGGATGACAAACATGTACAGTCATCACGGCTCTACAATTTGGTAAATGATCAGCTCCAACATTGTAATGCTGAAGCAGAGAGATACAAAGCACTTACAAGTTCTTTGCAGGTTATTGATATATTATGTAATTCTTGCAAGTGCTTTGCATGCACTATTTTTGTCTTTTGAAAAGTGTAATTTCAGGCCGACAGGTCTCTTGTTGTGAGAAGGGAGAAGGAAGTGAATGTGAAAATTGAATCTGCAGATGCTGCAAGAAGTACTATTGACACTGCTGAATCTAGAATAGAGGAGCTTGAACTTCAGCTGAAGAATTGTGTTATTGAGAAAAATGACCTTGAGATTAAAATGGAAGAAGCTATTCAGGATTCAGGTGAATTTTTTTTATTAAATAAGTTCTTGCTGAAGTTCTAATGAAGGGTAAGTTATGACTTACAAAGAAATTTCAAACTGATCCAGGGAGAAAAGATGTTAAAGCAGAGTTCCGTGTAATGGCTGCTGCTTTGTCCAAGGAAATGGGTATGATGGAAGCACAGTTGAATCGGTGGAAGCAGACTGCCCATGAGGCACTTTCGCTGCGTGAAAAATCTGAATCTCTTAGAGCATCATTAACGGAAAAGGTTTCTTTTCTTTCTCATTAAAAATTGTACAAAGGAATATAGTACTTACATATGCTTGATTTAGATTATAGCTTTTCAGCTTTTTTTCTTATGGTTGTGCAATGCTTGAGTTGGAGTTGATGGAGTTATTTTAAAATTACTGTGCTCATTTAAGCTTTTTGAAAATTTATAATAATTGACACAATCCAGCTTGTTGAAAATTTATAATGATCGACACAATCCACTTGGCTTTGCCATCTCCTTTCCATGTCATGATTTCTCTTTTGTTTGATTATTGACCGCATAGTTCACTTGATTCTTTTGCCATTTCTCTTCCATATGAAGTTTTGATTCCTATAAAGTTGTTAGGTTCCTCTCTCATTTAATTGTTTGAATGAGCACACCTGCATTTGAAGTTTTTTCTTGGAGCTGACGGCTTTGTATGACGAAAATAGATTCCTTGTATGGAGTGTGCAAATAATGAGGACACTCACAATAAGTGGCTTACAAGATGATTACAGTAAAAAAGAATCATTATGATTGTAGCTAAATGAAGGAATGATAAAATTTATAGCTTTCTTGAATGTACCTTAAAACAATGTGTGAGAAATTTAGACCAGGCCCTTCATCTTAGTAGTTGATTTCATTGCACTTGCAATGTTTAGTCTAATCTTTGGATGGTACAAACCTTCGCTGTGAATACATGGGACACTCGTTTTCTTCTCAACATATCTCAACCCATTTCTGTGTGAAATTTTTCATAAAGAAAGCTCCAAACAAATATAACGAGTCTCTGGTTACAAATATTTACAAAAATTTTTAACATGTTCAGCAAGGCTAAACGTTTAGCCTTCAATCAAACTTTTCTCTAGAAATTTCTTGCATTTTACTTAGCCCCTTTATGCAAAAACAAAACTTAGACAGATTTTGGTAAAACTGAAAATTAAGGCTAAAAATTTAAAAGCTGAAACTTATATCTTGAATAATTTTTGTGCTAAAGTTTTTAAACTTCAAAGATTTTTAAAGCCTGATAATCGAAGCAAACTATGAGTTATTTTTAGTGAAGTTTATCTTAGTTGAGGCTTTTAAGTGATATTTAGGTAAGTGTTATCAAACAACTTAAAACTACTAAAGCAATAAGTAAGAGAACTTTTAATTTTAAGAGCTAGAATTCTGTTATTAAATACCACATTATTTCTATGGGTAAAGAAAACCTTAACTTAATTATTTTAAACCAAAAATGTTTGGAAAATCGCAAAATTAATGATTAGGTCTTATGTTGCAACATTTGTTAAAATTAATGCTGGCATTCCACAATTTTTAAACTTGGGTTTAAAAGGAAGTCTAACTCCAAAGATTAGATGCTTAGATGTAGTATAAACTTGTTTTGTATCCCATTCATCTATTTTCTAAAATTTGTTTTGTATACCATTCATCTTTTTCCTTTTTTCCTTTTCAAATTTTGAATCCATGGTGCTGGTTGTTATTCTTTTTCCCTTTTTAGTATTTCAAGGCACAGATGGGCATCGCATTGCTTTTGCTATCCGTCTTGATTTAATAAGCCTTTGTGCTCTGTAATTTACATGCTTCCTTTTATTCTCGGTACAGACAAATGAACAAAAATGCTTAACACGTAAATGTGCTGAACAAATATCAGAAATCAAATCCCTGAAGACTCTGGTAAGTTTGTTAATTCGAAACTTGATTCAAACTTATGGGCCATGATTGTTTATTCTATGATGGTTGTCATTGGCATACCTATTGCTTACTTGTGCTTTTATCCTTAACTAGTTGTATTAGCACGTAAGTTTCTTGTGTGTATATTTTCATATTACAACATTTTAATAAATTTAAAAATTAAATATAATTGTTATTTGTAAATTAAAATTTCTTATGGGCCATGATTGTTATTCTATTGATGGTTGTCATTGGCATACCTATTGCCCTTACTTGTGCTTTTATATTCCTTAACTAGTTTTGTATTAGCACGTAAGTTCTTGTTGTGGTATATTTTTCATATTTACCAACATTTTTAATAAATTTAAAAATTAAATTTAATTGTTATTTTTTTTGTAAATTAAAAATTATTATTATATATATATATATATATATATATATATTTCAATTAAAAATGAAAGTTATTAATTGCTTAGGCAAAATTAGCCACACATTTAAATGAAAAAAAACATTCAATAGAGTAATTATGGAAAATTTATTTTACTAGGAACAATTGAAAATTAACTAAAGAAGTTTTCGCTGTTTATAATTTTTTACTTAAAAGGTCCTGAAAATCTTATAAAGTAATTAATAATTGTGTATTTTAAAAAGATAAATAAATTGAATTGACTCGTGTGACAATATATATATATTCAATAAAATGAAAGTATAATTGCTAGGCAAAATTAGCCACACATTTAAATGAAAAAACATTCAATAGTAATATGAAAATTTTATTTTACTAGGAACAATTGAAATTAACTAAAGAAGTTTTCGCTGTATAATTTTACTTAAAGTTCTGAAAGCTTATAAAGTTAATTAATAATTGTGTATTAAAAAGATAAATAAATTGAATTTGACTCGTAGTGACAATATAAAGAAGATGTATTAAAATAATAAGTTAAAAAAATTTGCATTTGCTTGCTTAGATTTTTTCTCTGAGTATGCTTGTTTTCTCTAGATCCTATATTTGTAGGGAGTTAATGAAATCAAATAAGTAGAATTAGGAATAACTTAATTAGAAAGTAGTTTATATTATCAGAAACTTGATGAAATGAAATAGGAATTATTAAAAGTATATTAATCAGGAGGCAATTTGTATTGATTAGGAAAAAAAAAAAAATATTGTAGACATGGGAAAAATTAAGGAGCAAGTTTATTTATGACATTGTAAATAAATTTATTTATTAAAAAGATTTCTTAATGGCATTTTTGTAAATATAAATTATATCAATGTCTTTGTTAGTTAGTTTGTATGTTTCCCCACATTTGTGCATTTATTGATATATTATAGATAGACAGATAGATACATAGATAGATGTTTGTTAGCACCTGTTTTCAAGAACAAGATTCCTTCTGACCTGAAACCTACAAATTCTTGGCCGTATAAAAGTGAATGCCAGTAAGATTGTACGGTCCAAATTGCCTTCTTTTTTTTTTGTCTCTTTTATTTTGCATCATAATGTTTCATGTGTGTTATATAGTCCCTATGGTTTACAAGTTTGTCACAGAAGGAAGAAATCACTTTTAGCTGGGTGGGCATATATGCAAGGATTGACACTATATGCACCAAGACATGCAAATACTCTAAACTTTAGGGGTGATAATGTTTAAACCATTCAAGAAGCAACATTACTCTTGTGCTCCTTTGACCATCAATGAATTAATTTCACAAACTGAAGAAGATGAGTATGCTGCAGATTGAGAAGTTGCAGAAGGAAAAACTGGAACTGCAAATAATACTGGACATGTATGGACAGGAAGGTTATGATAGCAGGTAAATTGCTTTTAAGTTTGCCATATGTTGCGATCTGTCAGGGAAGATTGTAGCTTTTCCTTTGTGTGTTACGTAATTCATTAAAAAAGCTAGTATCCTTGGGTGCGGTGCGGTTAAAATTTGAAGTTTGATACAAATTAAGGGTGGCATATGGCACAACACATTAATGAGGATATTTAAAGTTTTTTTTTTTATTATTTTTTATTTTTTTTTCTTTCCTTTTTCTTTTAAATACAGTAACATAACTGATTAGGTTACTTGTTGCTCTCGGTTTACTTTCGCCTAGTGCCCACTAGAGTGACAGAGGATAATGTTCAAATTCTTCCTACTAGGTTCTTTTTTTATTTTGCAAACTTTAATCCTAAGCATTCCTCTCAGAATTTTTCTGGGAACTTTAATGATTAAGGTAACCATGACATATGCCAAGGTTACAGTAATCCAGTTACAAATTGGACTCTTGGGAGAATGTCAATTCACTAAGAAACTTAACTTTTTTTTTTGAGGCAAGCCTCACATAGATGTTCTTACTATGAAAGAATTTTTGAAGCTTACTTTTCTTGAATCAACCTGACTTGTTCATTAGGAAACTAAATCTTTTCTTTATGGTTTCATAGGCTCCCAATTTTTGCTAATATCAGAAATTGAAAAGGTGCTGTAAAAATTGTCTGCTGAGTAACCTTTCTTTGATTAATCTTATGTGGCGTGGATCCTGAGTTGCACTTCTTTTCTGCATTATTACTAGCATCCAGAGTCTGTATATTAAGTAGGCTGGCATTTTTTTTTGCCTGATTAATTGATGTGAACTGGTAAACTGACAAAGCGGATTTAGTTTTCCTTTCTTTGCTAGATCAACATTCTAAATGTGGCTAGATATCTTGTGGTTTAGCTGGCTCTTGTTAGGTTAGAAGTTGGTAAAGTCTTGTGTTATTTTAGGATAAAGCCAGTAAAATCAAGTGTCACTTTGATCTTTTTGGCTAGTTTATTGTCTGTATTTTTTTTTTTTTTCACACTTTTTCATGATTAACAAAGATCTTTTAATCTCTTTCCACATTGATGGATGAAAATTTTTGTTCAGAGATATGCTGGAAATAAAAGAGTCTGAGCGTAAGGCTCGCTTGCAAGCTGAAGTCCTCAGGAGTGCTTTGGATGAACATGGTCTAGAGTTGAGAGTCAAAGCTGCTAATGAGGCTGAGGCTGCTTGCCAACAAAGGCTTTCTGCAGCTGAAGCTGAGATAGCCGAATTAAGGATGAAGCTCGATACCTCTGAACGGTTTGTTTTATTGATTATTGATTATTTGAAAGTTATATTCACATCTTGTAGTCTTGGTTTTTGTGTTAGCATTGTTTTTGTTGATCAAAGCTACCAAATTTATAATAATATGAATGGAAAAGAAAATCTTTCTTAGGAAGCTCTGCTATGATTTTTATTCATTAAATAATTTCAAGATAATACACATATTTTTATTTATGTGATCTGTGATATGTTGACTTGGCTCTTCTTTTCTTTCCATTAGACCTTTAGATGTTAGTTGCTCTGCATAACTGTGTTGAGGAAGTAGTGACAACTTCCAATTGAAAGATACACCAACAAATAAATATCTGATCTCAGAATAATCAAAATTAGTGGCATTCTACATCACATAGAATGGCATTCATGTCATTTCATTTCATTTGTGTAGTGTTTTCTTACCTAAAACAAACACAGATTGGCATTCTACAATATGTAGAATTGTAGAATAAGTGGACTAACATGTAAGAGAGAACCCTATGACTTGCAGTTGTGCTTTGTTCAGTTTACGGTAGTTATCATATAATTGGTAGGCGTCCATCATGGTCCAAGCAGTAGCAAAGTTGAATATGTACGGTAGCCTTTTGAAATACTTGATTCCTCATGAAATATTTTATAGCATATAAGTCGACTTGATTATTGAGCATGACCATTTATAGGCTGTTGATGAGAGTGTTCGTCTTTGTTCTTCAGCATGGAATTGGTATTGTTGCTCTCTTGTTACCGATGTTGGACAATAAGTGTTGTCTATAAAATAAAATAAGATGGTTACTTGAATGATTTTGTCAGAAATAAGAAGCCGGTGATTTGATATAGCGGTGGCTAAAATTGTGCCATTTTGTCTTCCTCATATGGCTGGACTTTTGGAAGGAGAAAATATTCTCCAAAGATAAGTATTATCAGGAGTTATCATAAGGATTTTGACAAAAGAAAAGCAGTTGATTAGTAATAGGGATTGTTAAGGTATCTCACCCTTCCATCTCCTAACTGGACTGAAGTCTTGGAAGGAGGAAAATCTGAGTATTCAAACATATAGTTAGGATGTCATTTATCTTGAAGGAGACAAGCTGTTTAACAGTCTCTGTGATTGTAGGAGAATCATTTATGAGAAGAATTGGTGTTTATGATTCTCAAATCTGTGGGATGGACCTATGGGATTGTGGAACTTGTTATACTAGATTGTTAATTTGAACTTTAAATTTTTATTGTAATGAATATGATGCTTGAATTTTGCAAAATTGTTTAATTGCTCATTAATTTATAACGCGAATTTATCAAATTTGAAAGGTTATATAGTCCCATTAATCCCAATTAAAATTGCCAACCAAATTGACTATATGATAATTAAGTTCATGGGCCAATTTGACCTTTTGGTCTTATTATTAATAATAAAATAATATTAGTTTTCTTTCAATTTTGACATACTGCAAAATTGACACTGATTTGGAATTATGTACAACTGGCAGAGAGAGAAAGCATACTATAAATTTGAAAGTATTCCCTCCGTTCCAGTAAATTTGATAGCTTTTGAGTTTTCTTTTTGGTTCCATTTGGATGACACTTTTAGAAAATTAAGGTAGCATTAATTACTTCATTTCAACTTTTACTCTTGTTTAGATATCTGCACTAAACTTTGTCTGAATTACATGGGCATTAATGAAAGAGTAATTTAGTCAATTACCTATATATTTTTCTGGAATTTAGGTGATTCAGTCAGTTTGTTAATTCTTGTGAAGAGTCAAAAATTATCAAATTTAACAAAATGGATGAAGTATAAAAAGATTGGGGTAGTCTTGACTTTGGGTTTTAAAGCTAGGTATTATTTTACGTTTTCAAATTAGCAAGATGCTTTGATCATACTGATGATCCTGGTATTTGAAGTTCTATTGAGGCAGGACTTGCAGCGTTAGTGCTTGTATTCCATCAGTCCAACCTTGCTGTTCAATTCTATTTTATTGAGAGATTCCCACCGTAGGGATTTAATCCTGTGATGCATGTTTTGTGCAGTATGTTTGTGCAAAACCTAGTAAGCGAACTAGCTGTATTATGTGGGAAGTGGATCCTTACAATTGCCCTTTTCCTTCCTTCCATCCCTCCCTTTACCCGATTTTCATTGTTGTGGGTGCATGTTTGAGATTATGACTAAGCAGATGATAATGCTTTTATGTGATTGAAGATTATGCCTGTTTCCCTTTACTTCTTAGTTTGTAAGGATGTGACACTTCGTTGATAATGTTCTGCTGTCACTTCACATGCAGAGATGTGTGGGAGCTCACTGAAGCTATTAAAAGTAAAGATAGGGAGGCTGAGGCATATATCTCTGAAATTGAGGTTTCTTACTTTTGCCCTTTTTTTTTTTTTTTTTTTTTTTTTTTTTTTAGAATAGCAATAACTTTTTCTATTTTTGAAGAAGTTTTTTTTTTTTTTTTTTTTTTTTTTTATTTTTAGAAAGCAATAACTTTTTTCTATTTTGAAGAAGTTTTAGTACTTGCCTTATTGTCATTCCTTCTGATCTTCCATACTGCCCATCTCTTCCTTTTGCTAAACCCCTACATTCCCATCCAGACAATTGGTCAAGCATATGAAGATATGCAAACACAAAACCAACACTTGTTGCAGCAAGTGGCTGAGAGGGAAGACTACAATATCAAGGTCTGTCTAAATTGTCTGTTGTGATTACTTGATGCTTGGTCTTTGTTTGTTTGATGGTATGGCCTATCTGTTACATTATTAGGTGGCTGTAAGAAGTCTTTGCTTAGCTTTAACTTATCAGTGAAGTCTTAAAATGCAGCTTGTTTCTGAAAGTGTGAAGACAAAGCAAGCACAAAGCTCTCTACTCTCAGAGAAGCAAGCCCTAACAAAGCAACTTCAACAAGTAAATGCATCAGTGGAATATGTAAAAATGAGAATTGCCCAGAGTGAGGAGCAGGTAATTATTCTAAACACTCTTTGGACATATTCACTATTGTTACTCTACATTAACTGGGGGTTGAATCTTGCAGATGAAAGTTTGTCTGACAGAGGCAATTAGATATACTGAAGAAGACAGACATCTCGCAGTCAACCTTGAAACAGCACGGTGGGAATTGATGGATGCTGAGAAGGAGTTGAAGTGGCTTAAATATGCTGTTGCTTCTTCTGAGAAGGAATATGAGCAAATCCAGAAGAAGATGAATGAAATTCAAACTGAATTACACAATGAAAGGTGGGTTTCTTTCTTTGATTAAATATGAATCTTCTTTTTTTGTTTTTCTTTTGGAGCATCATAGAAACATTTCTATATGATTTGTTAACATGGACATGAAAATGTTAACATATCCTGCATGATATAAACACTTCGGCCTCTATTATTCCTTTAATTGTTTCTTTCTATATCATATATGTAACATTTGATTTAGCAGAATTTTTTTCCCCATTTCTATTTGATGTTACATTGGAATTTCTTAGTGACCAGTAATTCCTCTGCTGCTGATTTAATGCACTTATCTTTTGCTTTGCTTGCGGTTCCTTGTGGAGCTGGGTTACCACCTCCATAAACTGCTTCACCATATATTCAGTAATACAGGTGTACTGTAAACTGTAAAATGACACTTTTAAAGGGATGCTAATATTAAAGTATTAGAAATATGTGGTAGGTTGATGGAATGAAGCGTCTGGTCTTAATGGTGTTCTGCTCCCTTCTCTCTTACCATTTATCATTTTCTTTTTATGATTGTTGGGCTTTTTGTTATGCCAGAGGTGAGAGGAAGAAACTTGAGAAAGAGCTCTCGGAGTTGAATGCTAAGATAGTTGAGTTGAGCTCTGAAAGTGGTGAGGCTGCAATACAACGACTGCAAGATGAAATAAAAGATTGCAAAAGTATGCTCAAGTGTAGTGTGTGTTCTGACAGGCCAAAGGAGGTAAATGCACGAGTTGTCTGGCTCTTCTACCTGTTACATTGTGTTACATGATGGTGATCTATTTCTTACGTAGTACTTGGAATAGATTCATGTGGAATTATTTTTATTTGCAAATTAATTTCATTCAAAATTCATTTGTAAATGAATTTTCATGTTTGGATCCACCATAGAATTTTTTCTAGAAATATAGCTTTACTATTTCATAACTTAGAATTGTAGCTACAATTAAAAAAGTGAAATTCTATGGAAATTATAAATGCATTCCATTAAAAATTTTATGGAATTCATTTAGACTAGACAAGCTTTTAAGATATCTTGAACGAGCTGATATATTTGGGTTTGTTTTGTGATTTGGCAGGTTGTAATTGTAAAATGCTATCATCTATTCTGCAATCCATGTATCCAGAGGAATTTAGAAATTCGTCATCGCAAATGTCCTGGATGTGGAACTGCATTTGGCCACAGTGATGTTCAGTTTGTTAAGATATGAACAAGCTTTTTCCTAATTCTGTAGTTTTGTAGCTTGGTTTTGGTAATTATGTGCATCAATCTCTGATGTCTTAACTTGTATGTTTCTAGTGTTATAGAAATAATATTCTTCTGTAATTATTTGACCAATCATGTTTCTGTACATATAGGAAGGATAAATAAAGCAAGGCAAAATCCGGAAGAATGATCCAATGACATCAGATTTTAGAAACGGAATTAGAATCTTTTAGAAACGAATTCTGTTTCTAAATTAGCAACGGATAAATAGATATATATATCTGTTTCAACTGATTGAGAAACGAGCTCACTTGTCAAGGATGATATTTCTAATCCATTTGTACAGCGTTTTAGCAATGGTTTTTCTCGTTCTAGAAATGAAAATTTTCCTCTCCTAGTAGCAGCTTTTTCTCTTGCAGTATGTGTTTTATATATGGGTTTCATAATTGTTCTTTGTCATGCTCGGGATATGGTTGTTTAGGCTTTAATTTTAGTTGTGTAATTAAATTTATGGGTTTTTATTTAATTGTTTTACTGTAAATTTGCAATTTTAAGTTGTCTTTCTATTTGCTTAATATAATCTAGAGTTTTTTTTTTTTTTTTTTTTTTTTTAATTTGCAATTTTAAGTTGTCTTTCTATTTGCTTAAATAATCTTAGAGTTTTTTTTTTTTTTTTTTTTTTTTTTTTTTTTTTTTTTTCTTTTGTGGATAATAAGCTTTAATAATAGAATAACTCAGTAATTTTTTTTTTAATGTTGATTTCAGAGAATCCTTTGAATATCTTGTATATTTAATTTAAGAGAATCCCTTGTTTTTTCCTTGTATATTTTCTATTTAGGTATAGGTTTATGTGTATGTATATATCTTTGATGTAAATCACAAGAACACAGAAATAGAGTAAATTTTTCTCCCATATTCTCTAAATTCAAAATGGTATCAGAACCTTCCTAACCTTTTTTGACATTTCTTTTGAACCAAAACGGAATCAGATTGGAATTCGATTTTAGGTCAGTGTGAGCAAATATCTGTCCCTTGTAGGAGAGAGTTAGGCGACACTGTGCACCTGAGAAGGAAGCTCTGCTGCGATCAACGCGTCGCTAGAATCTTGTTGTCGTCGGATCTCATGCGCCTTATGATGGAATTTTTCTGGGATGCATCCTGTGGCGGCTCACTCTGGTTGACTTGCCTCCCTTCCGTGTAGGGATGACCACAGTTTATTTTCAAATTGAAACCGATCCGGTCAAAATCGACATTAAACTGTTGTCAATGATTTTTGTTTTAAAATCGTAATCGAAACTGTGAACTTAAAGTTTGGTTTCGATTCTTCATTTTTTAAAATCAAAACCGGTAATTTTGGTTTAAAACCGGTGGTTTTAGTTTAAAATCGTGAAAAGCATGTTCTTTAAAAAAACTATTATAGTTTTTTAAAGTAATTTTTAAGGATTTTTTATTAAATTGATTTAGTTTTTTTAATAGTAATATTTATTAGTATTATTTATTCAAGCTATAAATCTTAAAAAAATATTTTAAAAATTTTAAAATATATTATTTAAATTTAGTTCAAAATTTGGAAAAAACTGAAACCGGCGATTCCAAAACCATTTAAAAGCGGTTCAATTTTAGTTCTGTATTTTTTATAACCAAAATCGGTAGTTTTAAAATTGAAACCGGCTGTTTTTTAAACCGTGGTCACGCCTACTCTGGTAACCCTCTCCCTTCTTCTAAACCTTACTTGCGTTCATGCCTAAAATGGTTACTGATCTCTAACTCCTCTGCCTATTTGTGCCTCTATTTTGAATTTTAGTTATGCGTGATGCAACACAAACCATTAAAATTAAATCGGATTTTTCTAATGATAACCCCTCTTTACTAATGAGTCTCGTTAACCTTGATAGCACTAATTATCACTGTCCACGTCACATTCTGGTGGAATTTATTAATTCGGTCAAAAGCATTTCGTTTTGTTATTAGACAAATAGTAGTTCAGGAATTTTTATGTGACAAATTGAATTCTAAGTATAACAATGTAATAGGAGAGATATTTTAGGAGCAGTAGGTGAAAATAAGCCTTTCTATAATCAAAACTGTTAGTACTATAAAGCATTAGGGATGGCAATGGGTAGAGGTTGGGTAGTGTAATACTCATACTCGATCCCTATATCCTACTCTATACTTTATTAGATAGAGAATGTTATATCAAATCCAATGGATTTAGTTATGCCATGGGTACCCATTATTCGTGGGCACCCATGGATATACATTATCTATAAATATCCATTTATCCACTTACTCATATTATTTAAAATTAGATTATATTGAATTAAAAAGTTAAAGTATTTATCAAAATGATTTATATCATACATAAAAATCTATGAAAATAAATTAATACATAAATAAATGTTTGAACGATGATAAACTAAGATTTGAATTCTAAAATTGTTCTTCTTATCATAATATTTTATTCAAATATAATGGTAGTAGACTATTCAAGTGTAATTAAAATAAATTAAAATCAATTAATAGAATAATTAAAAAAACTCATATAATAAAATCGCTAAATGTAAAATATTATTATCTAAACACTGAAAATCACTATTATCATTATGATTTTTCTCCATTATTTGAAATTGAAGTTTACATTAAATATTAAATTTTAAATTTTAAATTAAATTTCAAGATATAATATTTTAAAAATTTGACCAATTCAAATTAATATGTAAAAATTTGTTGAAATTATTTTGCATTACACTATATTAAATTAAAAGTAAAATTAAAAATTTGACCAATTCAAATTAATATTAAAAAATTTGTTTTTGAAATTATTTTCATTACACTATATTAAATTAAAAGTAAAAATTATAATTTATAAATGATAAATTTAAAAAATAAGCGACCCAATTTATTATAAAAATTTGACCAATTCAAATTAATATGTAAAAATTTGTTGAAATTATTTTGCATTACACTATATTAAATTAAAAGTAAAATTATAATTTATAAAGATAATTTAAAATAAGCGACCCAATTTATTAAAATTCTATACCATTTAAAAAAATAAAATTTTAAATCTCTTGGATTTGAATTTCAGGTATGGGTGGGGTTTGAATTTATAATAGTAATACTCATATCCAAAATAAAACTTTTGAATTTTACCTATAGTCTACCCAAACTCAGTCGAAACCCTAAAATTCAGGTTTGACTGGTTCGGATTGGTGTATATCCATCGGATCGGGTTGATTCTTCCATTCCTATAAAGCATTGTGCAACATGAATTTTATTCGTTCATTCATCAGTACTATGAACCTTTGTTTCAAAAAAACTAAATTATAATTATGTTAAAATTTTGGTCCTTTCGTTGGATAGTATTTTTTTTAACTGTCAATCGATTGAGAAATGACAAAATTGACCTTGCAGAAAAAATGGTCTTAAGATAAAAAAATAAATTGATCTTTAAATTATAGTCAAGCTAACTATAAAGTGCATAAAATGTTATTATGCTAGTCTCAAGTATGGGAATCTCTCCCGAATTGCTTGTATTCTGAATATTTTTGTTAATAAAGTTATTTTCTTTAAAAAAAAAAATTAAAGTCCATAATTTATAATTTTATTAGCACTTTAATCCTTTTGTTTTGTAAAGAAGGATTCAAATATTAATGGAATTATAACTTTGGAATTTCATAATAAATTTTTAAAAATAGAAGAGTTCTTATGTATTAATATATATGATTTTGGAAATATTTTTTTTTCTTTTTATTTGTTATATTTAGAATTGTAGTTTTTGTACAATATATCCCTGATAGTGATATTTATAAAATAATGGATCAAAACGAGGTAGTATGACCCCACCATGTTTTTTATGCATAACCGGATAAGGTCCACAAGAATTTGAAATGTATGACCTTGTATTAATATCTTCTTCCTCGAGTCTTTTATCTTCACCTCCATCCCCTATCCTTGAATTAATGGCACTTTGGTGGATATTTTGATCATGAAGGTTTAATGTCGGTTAGTTCGATTTAAATCAATCGAATCATTTTAAATCAAATAAATTAATTTTTAAAAAAATCTATCTTAATCAAAATAAATTGGTTTTATTTAATTAAATTGTTTTGAATTTAGCTTCTTCAATTTGACAAACTTAAATGTTTTAAAAATGACGTTGACGTTTTGATTTAATAATAATTATATATTATAATATTATGAGCTACATAATTGGGGTTAGACTTTTCTTTAACTCATCAAATGAGTGAAGTAGTTAAAATGACTCGAATTCGAAATCTCTCACTTTTCACGTTAGTGAGAAGACCAACTAAACCACACTAATTAACATGTATTAGGATTTCGTTAATAATTTCAATTTAATACAAAAATACACGAGAATTCACTGATCGAATAAGAAATTCTAATGAAAAACTGAAAGATGAACTAAAAAAATTTATAGATTTTTTAAAATGGCCGGCTAGACAAAACTTTTTAAATTTTTTATATATATCTAATTAACTATGATCTAATTGTTTATAACGAACACAAAAAATTTGACCCACCAATTCTAGAAGAACATGTTTTACCGCCAAACTTCAAAAGACAACAATTATCATCTATTGAATAATCTCTACAAGTTGCATGTCTGTCTAAATAAACTCCAATCAAATGCAAAAAAATCCAACTAAATACTCCATATAAAATGGAAAAATCATGAACTTCATACAAGATGGATATAAATCATGAGAAAACAATTGAAAAATAAATGAAAATTATGAACTAAATATAAATTTTAACTTGGTAGCCAGAAAGTTGAGTTTGAGAAAGAAGATGATTAACCCAAACTAACGGATACATGATTGAAAACATCACAGTCCTTTTAATAGAATCACTTGATATTCTTTTTATTTCTGGTCTAGGCATAAGACATAAAATAACACCACGGGCCAAGAGTCGGAAAAAGAATAATACTAGAAAATAAAAAACCATTGAAAATGATGCCGTTTTTGTGGTTGCGAATATCAACAATGAGTTCCCTTAATCTGTGCACTGTACAAGCAATCAACATCATCTGAACATCACTGCTATTCCCACTCATTTTCTTCACTCTTTTCTTGATTTTTTTTTTCTCCATTCTCATTGAAATCTAAGAAATGCTACTTTCTCTTGTACAATCCGTTTATACATCACCCTTTCAATCTATAGCTCACACTGGCTTCAAGAATATACTAAACCCCGCTTCTGGTCTACCCAAATCACTCTTTCCCACTTTTGATACTGACCAGCCAAAAAGATTTTTGTATCTAAGCAAAAGATCTTATTATACTGCTACTAGAAAGGTCACAGTTAACGCTTCTTTGCTTGAAACTCCAGTTTTATGGGCAGGCCGGCTTTGCATCTTTTATGCGCTCTTGAAGTCTGGTTTAGCTGGATCAAAGGCTAATCCACTTGTCTCAGGTACTTTCTTGATGGGTTATTACTCTCAATTATTATCTGATTCCAATTTTTTCTGGATGGATTTGTGTTTGTTTTTAATTTTGTTTTAGGTTTGGATGGTTCTGGTACTAATGCTGAATCTGGTGATTTGGGTTTCTCGAAGTGGCTTGATACTATACAAGGAAAACCAGGTTTGTGCGTTAGCTTTTTGTATTTCAATTTCTGTTTTAAATACAATATATTTTTTGCATCATTTTTTTTCCCAGTAAATGCATATGGATTTCATTTCATTTGCAAATGAATTTTATTAAGCAAATGAATTTTTATATTTGGACTAACTGTAGAATTCATTTTATGTATGTTCTTAGAACTCATTAGCGTAAATGCTATGAAAATTTTCAATTATGCATTTAAAAGGATACAGCTGGACACGTTTTAAAGGTATGGGTAGAATCTGGAATCTTATTGATATTAGCTTTTAGATAGATAGATTGTCATGTCAATTTCATGAACTTTTTCTATGCATCATAGTCGTAGGCAAGGGTATGAAAAATGCTATTCAACAAGAAATTAATCTAGTTTTAATTGTCTAACATGTAAATGGTTTTATAGTCTTAATTGGAACTATCTTCCTATGGTGCTTCGTTGGGAAGGGTACTGATTTTATGGGCCTCAGAAGTTCACCTGTTTCTTGCTTGAATAGTAAAGGAAGATATCCTGGTGCTTGGCATACATTATATAGAGCATCTGCTGCAGAAAAGAATTCAAGAGTTGCTGTTTTTTTCTTTTTTTGGATGACACCTGCAAATGATGGTTAAAGATTTTCATCGTAAAAATGTTTGATCTCCGATCATTAATGCCATAGTCTCCCATGGTCTGAAGGATTAGGAATATCAATAGACAAATAACAAGTGTTGGACATGTTGAAGAAGATGGCTATAAGATGCTGTTAATTTCTTATTCCCCTGAAAGACAAGCGTGGCTTTATTTTGTTCTTCTAAAATCTTGCAGGCATAGGATTTTTTTTTTTTTCTGGATATTTTGATAAAGTTTTAAAATTACAATGGCTTGATCCTGTCCTGATGGTCTTAACAATCTCTAGCCAGAGCTATTCAACCTTATGGCAACTGGAATAGAATAGAATTCAAGTGTATGCTTTGCATAATTGTGGGTTTAGTCAATCGCGGCTCTACAAAGGAGAGGGATGCTGTATGGACGTTGAAGAAATGAATATAAATTTTGGTTGAATGTGAAAACTAAAATATGCAGGCCAATATAGTCTCATGGCTTGAAAATTTTGCTAAGCATAATTTCAAGTCTGTATATATAATCCCACCATACCAAACCTTTCTTCATGCATGTACTTTTCCCATTATCACCATCAAGAGGCACTTTTTTCTTTTTTCAGTGGAGAGTGTGGGGAGAGTGCTGCTAAATTCTCGATGGCATATACCAAGCCACATTTTGTACAGATTCAACTTGGTTTACATATGCTGCTTTTGGTTGCAGTGGAACTTGTGGTAGAACTGACACTGGGATATATAAAACTCTCCTCATAGGTTTGCTGAAAGGAACAATAGGTTGGTTTAATTTTTTACCAACAAATAGTTTATTTCAGGCTACATCATAAGCTTAGTCTTGGCTGGTTTCTATTTTACCAGCATGTGGAAAGGAATGACTATAAAGCTGTAACATGTGGTACTCACTGCTAGTCCTACAAACCAAATTGAAATCCGTCTATAAATGATTTGGATTCCAATCCTTACTCTGTTACTCAGGAGCTTTATTTTAGTATTTGCATGCCTTTTGACATATTCTTACAGCACTTGGCACTATTTTATTTGCCTTTTCTCTTTCCTAGAGTCCCATCCTCTCTATCCTCTAGGTCTATTTGTGCAAGTGGATCATATATGCTTGCACAGGCTTATTAACTGATATAACTTATGATACTACTAGTGCTACTCTCCATTTAGAGGTAGGTAGTCATTGCGGTAGTAGCTCATAGTCAAGTGCCTGCCTTGTAATGCAAGTGGTCAGGAGTTCACCCTGGCATCTCAATGGCCTCTCCTGTAGGAATTTTTGGTGTATCTAACAAATTAAGTGCAGATATAGATAGTTTTTTAAGAATTCAATGGTTTTGCAATTATTATCCTTGTCAAATTAATTTTGGGTTTGTCAATCTACCTTCTATCTTTTTATGTTACTTTTATGTTTCATCAGAAAAGGAGGCAGCTGAGAAAAGGAAATTTGTGAGCAAATGGCATCCAACAACAAAGGGAACACTTAGGAGGAACTATAGGGTCCCTTCCAAATCTGAAGGAAGGCGCCTTCTTAAAGCCATTGCATCATTACTATCTGATGACGATCACTTCACCGACGCCACTTCCCACAAGGTAATACAACTCCAGAAAGAAATCTCTAAAATTCTGGTTTTTTCGTCTTTCTATGCAAGTTACCAAAATATAATAATGTGAAACGACAAATGAAGTTACATTTTATGGGTTTTTCTTTTCGAATGTAGGGTTGTCAAATTAGGAGGGAAAGTGCTCATGGCGAAAGTGTTTGCTGCAATAACGTAAGGGCTCTTTTTGATGAACTTCCAACACCACACCTGGTTGTGGAAATCACAGCTTTTCCTGCTGGTCCTCTAACTGAAAAAGACTACGTCAAGGCTGAGAAAGTAGAGAGAGTGCTTAGATCAGGCCCTTCTATCTGACGCATTCTTCAAAATCTCCTGATATCCTTTGTATGTATCTGAAAACTTCCATCTGTAAATATGAATTCTAACAGGAATTTGGTATTTTTGTTCTCTTATAACCTAACACCTAATAACTTTTGGAAGACCGGTTAGGTGTTGATTGAAATCAGATTTAGCTTTTCTGCTTCAGCTTAAATTTACGTCGGGATTGAATGATAAACGATACATTACTTCTTTGACATTTTATACTCAAAATTTCTGCACTTTGAGGTGTTAAATTGTGGAAGATCAAGGGCTGTTTGGTTTAGTGTTTGAGGTCAGCTGTTAGCTCTTGAAAAACAACTAATCGCTAAAATCAAATCTAAAGCTAGAAATCCTGTTTTCAGTTTTTTACGAGCACATGAACCTGCGCATTGTGCAGGTTAATTATTATAAATTATATATTTATAAACGTAACTTTAAAGTTGTGTGATGATTAATGAAATTTAATATTTTATAATCAAAGTTTATATATAATATTTCATATTTGATAATTTAATTTATAGACAACATTATGAATATTATATTGATATTATCATGTGCATGTAATTATATAAACTATAATAGTATCTGTACAGTTTGATAATATTTGTTACCATATAATAAACTTCTAGTAGAGTTTTTTCAAAATATTTGTTACCATACAAATGAAAATGCATTTTTTTCAATCAAAGAAAGATTGAAAATCCATATATGTTCATTTTTGTCTTGGTTCATAAATTTTTTAACAAAACAATTTATTGCCAACCAATAATAATTTTAAAATATTTTAAAATTAACAATAATAATTAATAAAATTATTAATGAAATTGCTTTAATCATTAATTTATTATTTAGATAATCATCAAAGAAAATCTATATTCATAATTAGTTGAGAAATAAATCCATAAAATACTATAGATAATAAGAATTTTTTTTTTTTTTTTTTTTTTTTTTTTTTTTTTTTTTTTTTTTATAATAATTAATAAAATTATTAATGGAAATTGCTTTAATCATATTATTATTTAGATTATCATTCAAAGAAAAAATCTATATTATTTCATAATTAGTTGAGGAAATAAATCCATAAAATACTATAGTAATAAGAAATTTTTTTTTTTTTTTTTTTTTTTTTTTTTTTTTTTTTTTTTTTTTTTTTTTTTTTTTTTTTTTTTTTTACATTTATACTAAGTGATTGTACGTCTAAATATATAATAAAGGCCAAAATTAGTGGATCTATTATTTTTAAGCAATTACTCATTTTATTTTACAACTCATTATTTTGAGTAAAAATTAATATTTTATTCATTTAATATTTCAATTAATGATTTTTAATGTGAATATATACAAAATAAAAGTCTTTTAGTGTGAATTTATTAAGTGTATAATATTTCTCAAATGAAATTAGGAAATTTCTACAAATAAAATTGAAACTAATATTTATTTATTTTTTTATTTATGAAATTTTAATTTGAGTCAATTTAGACAGAAAAGTCATAAAATATAAATTTATATAGATAGTATTATTCTTGGGTTAAAATAAAATATCAAATATTGTTATTTTATTGATTGGACCAATAAAAGAATAAATAAATATTGTTTTAAAAATATTATTAGTAGAACATTATATAAGTTTATAATATCAAAATTTAATTTGCTTGAAAAAAATCATTATCGATATTTAATAATTAATATTTGATGGATGATTGTTGTTATAATACAAGTACTGATAGCACTTAATGTTAACAATAATATGTATGTAAGTAAACTATTAACAATATATGGCATGTATTGATTAATTGGGTTAAAAAAAATGAAAACTTATAAAAGAAATCAAATTAACAAAAAAGTTAGTCATTAATAATTTTTTTTATATAATATGGTATATTAATTTTATATATTGCAAAATTAACTATTCGATTTATTTATACTTATATTCAAAAAATGTAATGAAAAGCTCATATTGAGTTTTACTTCTATAAATTTTAAAAAATTAATTTAAAAAATTTTAAATGAATAATTATTTAAGTTATGATAAGGATGTAATTAAAGAACATTAAAGGGTGAGTAGGAAAATAATATTGGACATGTATGTAATTAAAAAACTATAAAAGGATTAAGTGGATAAAATACTATTCACTACAAAAAAAACGCCATTTTGCGACTGACGCCATTTTGCGACTGACCAATCGGTCGCAAAATGGCAAAAATCGGTCGCTAATTTGACTTAGCGACCGATCTGAGACCGATAGATATCGGTCACAAAATAGGCCGTCGCAAAGATTTTTGCGACCGAAAATTGCGTTGGTCACAAATTAGCGACCGATATAATCGGTCGCAAATTTTGGTCGTGTTTCATTTGGAAACGCTGTCGTAAATTTGGTCGCAAAAAAAATCTGTCGCAATTTTAAAATTCGGTCGCAAATCGGTCACTAATTGTAAATTTACAATTTTAATTTTTGGTCGCAAATCGGTCGCAAAAGTGAAAAAAAATAAAAATAAAAAAAATTAAATATTATTATGAAAACCATAATTTTTCGCAACCTGTTGAAAATTGAACATATATACATATATATCAACACACGCAATTCAAAGAACAATATAAAATGGTAATTTTTTGTACCTGAACAAAAAATATCAATACAATATGAAAAACTTAAAAAGGATCCAAATCAAATCTTACGCTGCTGCTATCTGCAGGATCCGATGTGGGTCGCCGGAGGAGTACCTGCTGGATGTGATTGTAGCGCCAGGAGGGTGACCAAAGGTATGGAGGGGTGACCAAGGTATAGTCTGCAGCATCGGGATCAGAAGTCAGTAGTGGCTGCTGCTGAGACGTCGAAACATTTCGATCTGTAGCAGGCGCAGGATTAGAGGAAGAAGTACTAGCACCGGGCTCACCGGACAGCTGCATCACATGCGCTCTAAGCTCTGCAATCTGCCTCTGCTGATCATCAACACTAGCCCATAATTTAGTAAACTGCTCGGCAGTGTGCTCAGGCTGTGGTCCTGCGCTGACTGTAAAAGCGTGAGCTGCTGAGCCGCAGTAAAGCTGTGATGTCTGAGACCCGATGCCGTATACCTTCCTCTTCTTCTCGCCCCCTACAGCCTCGCAGCCTCGAGATAAAGTGCTACCTCGTCAATTCTTGACCTCAGCTTCAATTTCATCGGTCTTTGAGAAGAAAACAAGACGCTCCCGAGCTGTAGTTATAGTTCTCCTTGAAAACAAAAAAATTAATTATCAATTGCAATTGCAAGCTTTATTATATTGAACTTTGTACATCTTCGCAACGAGTTTAGAGGGTAAATGTAAATATTTATCATTGTTACTTACATTGGACGGCTCCACTGCACGTCTGGCACAAACGTTATTCAGATCGTGGTCCTTCGTGTGATGTTATGTAAACACCTCATCGTGTGGGCTCACGGACCTAATTTTTCAGCCATGTAATGAATTATTTAGTGCATGATATATCAATATTATATAATGTCCTTTCATTAACATCAGTTTCATATAAAGGGACTAGTTCACTTACTAATAATCGAGTCTGTCTCATATACAGATGTTGATCCGCACTGTGTGTCGAGAAGGTCTGCTCCATCACCGCCAGTCTCACTGCGCCTGTTTTGTGCAAATATCTCCCGCTTTCTCTTGAATGCAGGATCCTCCAAGCCTTTTGCCAGACTCTCCCATATCTCCTGAGACATGCACTGCTGCTTCTTACCGCTTCTTCTCATTCCTATAGGTTGAAGTCAGGCATATCGATCAGCGCATTATCTTCTCCCAGGCTACTTTTCAGCATAGCCGTAAATGGCCTCGTCCATATGAAATGTTTCTACAAAAAAATGGAAATATAGCCGTTTCAATACTAAGGAGGTATCTTGATGAAATTGTAAACATTTGAATGATGATAAACTTAAAACCCAAAAGTACCTGAAACTCCTCCCAATAAAAGTCTCTCACCTCTTGTGTCGGCATCCCATGTGGTTTCTTCTTTATGCAGTGTTAGCTATGATTATCCTCAAAATTTGCCTCGCTGCTCGAGAAAATGGATATATGCTGAAAAAAAAAAAAAACAAGAAGTGAAAATATAATAGAAGTTATGTGGAATATATGCTCAAAAATATGCCCTTGGTTAGAAAAATTGAATAAGTACTTACTGTTCCCGCTACCCAAAAACTGAGGCTTGATACGTGGATTCTAATGAAGCTGTAAAAAAAAGAAGTGGAACCCCCCCCCCCCCCCCCCCCCCCCCCCCCCCCAAAATTGTTATTAAAATTGCATCTCTCTCTTTTT